ATTCTGGCAGTTGGATTTTTGCACTGTATGTCCCTTATGTTCACCCTTAAAATCCATCCAAAGTTTACTGTAATACCAAACAGATCTAGTTTGTGACCTGATTATAACTTCTTTTTTAAAGGAATGAAGCTTCTGGTACTGAAATTAAACCAGACCCTCTTTTTTCTATGTGTCCATATATCACAAGAGCAGACTCTCGTATCCTCTGCCTTCTTGGTAAGCAAACAAACAAAACCTGACAAGCTGAATTAGCATAGCTTGATTTGTCATTGTACCCGCATGCAAAAGAGAAATGGCTGAAAGGCAAAAATTAGAGTGGTTTCTCCCACACACGTCTTTTCGCAGACTTTCCTAATCCAGCCTGTCCTCGACATGTCTTTTCACTGTAAATTGTGGGAATGAGAAGTGATGGCACCTGCTCACCGATGCTGCCAATGCTTGAAACTCACACTTACACAGACACATTCAGACACATTTTTGCATATGATGCAATCAACATGTCAGAAAATCTGTGAAAGTAGCCAACAGTGAAATGTACAAAACGATAGCTCAGTATTATGTACCTTCAGAACAAATCCACTGGAAAACCATTTAAATGCAGCTGAATCCGGATGACTTTCTCCCAAGAAATATACTGACTGGCATTCAATATTAGAAAATTGTTCTGTGCAGCTGAAATAGTTCAGATATGCTTCAGTAAATGTGAGTATCATAGAAAAAGTGAGTCTTCTATAACATGTAGATTCTCTACTCAGGGACTGATTTATTTAAAGTGCTTATTTCTGTTTACCTTGATGATCGTGGCTTATAGCCAATGACAACTCAAAATTCAGTTTATTGTATTATTTGGGCACTACATAGGAACATTAAAAAGCTATTTTATACATGCATTTTGACCTAAACAACAATGGATAAGATTGGTCTAACAGTCATTGACTATCCGAAAAGAGGACAGGTCATGATAGGCCAGTGCTCAAGAAGCTAAGTGATCACAGAAAGTTCTATCCACGCATTGAATGGATGGAAAAAATGAGGTAAAGGTGCACAATTGGGATAACCACAATTTTGAGAGGCTTGTGTGTCAAAACCCGTTCAGTTGAGTGAGATTCACATGATTTGGACTGCATCTGGGTTGAGAGCTCTATGTTGAATATAACCATCGCATTAATGTGTTAAGGCCAAGGAGTAAAAGGACTGAACTGTTGCTCAGTGGTTTGAAGTCGTCCGTCCAGATGAAAATCCTTTATATGTACTTAATTTGAAAATCTAATTCACAGAGTCTGGAGGAAGAATGGAGAGACACCAAATCCAAGTTGCTTGAGGTCCAGGGAGTGATTTACACAGCCAGTGATGATTTGAGGAGTTGTGAATTGCTGGTCTTGATCCATTGTGTTTAATCTAGTGCAAAGTCAGAATAGCCATCTATCAGGACAGCTCTTGGAGATGCTGATTTTATTTTCTCGTAGAACTTCGAAACACACTCCCAAAAGTATCAATACCTGCTTTTTTACCATGGTATCACTGTGCTTGATTTGCCATCCATCTTGCCTGACCTAAGCCTGACAGAGGATCTATAGGTATTTATCAAGAGGCAGATAAGAGACACCAGGTCTAACACGGATGAGCTGAAGGCCATTTAAAGCAACCCGAGCTTCCTTAATATCTCAGAAAAGCGACAGGGTGATTTCCTCCTTGCTACGTTGATTGATGCCAAAATTCATGCAAAAAGATGCCCTAGCCAAGTAAAGATGTTGGTCTTAGGAAATATTTGTGTTATGCAATATGTAATATTTTCATTAGCTTTAATTTGCAATCATAACTAAGGGAAATAAGCACTGGAAATAGATCTGTCTGAAATATGTTTTACTTTTTGAATTAAAACACGTAAATAAATTAATCTTTTGATGATTTTTCTAATTTACTGAGATGCCCTGGTGTAATTGTCAGTATGAAATTTGCTAATTTCAGTCAGCAACTTCTCAGGCTGTGAATAATTTAAGTCATTACAGGTGATTAATTAAACAATGCTTGAAATTAGGTAGAAAATGAATAATGGTAAGAGAGGTTTAATTCCCGACCTTACTCAATTTTTAATGAGCTCACTTCGATGGAAACTCCATTTTATAAAAGGAAATATGGACTCGTGTGAATCTGGCAGATAATTAAAGAACTTATGTTATTATCTGAATCTCGGCACGTATGCTGGCGGGATGAGGGAGGCCATCAAGCAAACAAGACGGGATGGATGTTTAGAAGACTTCCCCTTGCAGTTGATAAGCTTTGAGCGTTGTGATAAACAGAGGCGAATGCATTAGGAAACCCAGGGGACTGGTAATCTCAGGAGGAATCATCAACTCGTCATAAAGACTTTTGCACGCCGCGGGAAGAGCACAGACGCTCACGACAGAGTCAAAGTTGTGCAGAAGAGAAACAAAGCAAGTTAAAAACAACAGAAAGCAAAAGTACAAGTTAGCTTTTTAACACAATACAACTTAACAAATACATTAAGCTCTGCTGTGGCTTGTACATTTTACTCTCGCAGACATTTCCAACATCTTCCTTTCTGCTGAGCCACATTTTTTGGGGCAGGCGCAGCTCCAGTTAACTGCTCCACTTTCCTCGGGAAACTTGCAACATTTCGAGTGTCACTCCCTAACACTTGTGTGCTATTCGGAGCTCGGAGGCCTTGGTTACTTTTAATTACAGCGGGTAATGAGAGAAGACTTTCAGACTGTGACTCATGGAGTATTTTTAGATCTCCATCTTGATTATCTAACACATTGCTGGTGTTGATTCTGTTACAACTTTGTTAGAGGACTTTTGTACCCATGACATGATTAAAATTAGTCTTAAAGCATTACTTAAATTGGTCAATATTTATTTTCTAAAGAAACTCTCTGGATTGCGGTTGGTATTGTTGGTGAACATAATTTTGACTCTTTGTTTTGAAAGTCATGTTGTTTTTAGAGAGTCCATATTAAAGATAATATAAATGAGCAGCAGGTGGTGGGCTGGATTCTTGCAGGATTTTCAGTAAAGTTTTCTTAATCAACCTTGGTTAATGAAATGCTATTTTAGTTTGATGATCAATTTGCTCACTGAGAAAATCACAAGCCATTGCGCTTTCTCATTTCCAGACTAAATATCTTGTTTTTCCCATGCTCTAATATTATGGATCAAGCTTGACTTTTATATTCTAAAATTAAGCTTGCAGAAAAGACTTTTAATTGGACAGAAAAGAGTGTCTGGGTCTATTTGTGGTCTGGTGCAATGTTGGAAATGCCAGCTGTCGGCTCTGCATCAAAGCCTTACTGGAACAAACCATTACGCTGCCCATCCCCACAGTTTGCTGAAATAGGCTTCATCGTTTACTGTGTCATACATAACCCTTCACAATTATTGGCAAGCCTTGTAAAGACATGTAAAATCTACTTACGATAAACCAACCACAGCAGCATAATATCGTAATAATATCGACATATCATTGAAATATTGAAATACTTAGAGAAAAACATAATTCATTTGTACCACAAACAAGTCCTGTAAAATAAATTGTCAGGGAACTTTTAGTTATTAATCCGTGACTGTGTGGGCAAAGTAAGACATGGCAAAGAAGTTTTTTCATTTCTCTTAGCCACTCATTCAAGATGGGAAAGACAAGATAATGTGCCATACAGTAAAGAATATACTTATTAATATGTCAGTCAGGGAGAAGCTAGAAGAAAATAGCTCATGATCCATTAAAAACTTTCAGAGCTCTGGTTAGAAAAGTTTAAAATAATTAGACAAACTGGCAAACAAGACTGGATTTTAATTATTACCATGCAGAGAAAGGAGAATAAGAGGTGTGTATTTCTGCATTTCCACTGCACATGTTAAAATGTGGAGCTTTTTGAACTGGGATTTCAGCTAAAACTACGTGGTTTGGTCGCATGACAGAAAATACAAAAAATGCTACAAGAGTATCTGGCAAAAAGAAAAAAAAAATACAGTGTGAGAGAACACATGCTTCTTATTTAGTACTGTGTACAACCAGTGATGCTGTGGGCTTGTTTTGCTTTGCTTGTTTTTATTTGATCCTTTTACAGAATAATGTCTTGAAACAAAACACCAACTAATCATTGAAACAGAAAGCTAGAAACAAAATATGTATTTTTCTTTGGCCATGTTGGTCCCTTGAACTATCTGAAACTTGTGGGTTGAAAGCACATAAGCAGAGATCCAGAACTTTTCATCTACTGCATGAGTGTCCAAATTTCAACTTGTGGGCTTTGGAATGACTTTGTGTGGGCTGTGAACTCAATTCAAGAATATCATTTTTAATTGCCAAGACTTGCTTGGCAAGTAAGGGACTTTTAAATTTTGGATCAATGATGTTTTACAGATTACTTTTCTATTCTTTGCTAGTTTTATTTTAAACTGCTTTTCAGTTAATAAAATGTTGATTTTGGTAAGTTCTTTAGATTGATGTAGAGAAATTGTCCAAGGAGAAATGATCACAGATCACTTTTTCTGTTTGCTCTAACCTCACGAATTGTAGAATGAGAGCGCTGTCCAGTTTCCAAAAAGGAGTTGCAAAAGCAGGGCTATCAAAAAGGGTCAGACTGGTGATTTAGCAACTGTTTCTTAACATAGGATGTTTTATTGCTTGATAAATGTATAAAAATTTAAGGTTTTTCTATTTTTATAATGGAACATTTTGGCACTGCAACAGGTACATTAATGGTGACAGGAATTACAGAAAACTGAAAAATGTTGTGCACCATGAACTTGCTTCACTAGCCAGACCTTAATTCCACATAATAACTTGTAAAAAGATTTCACAACGGCTTCAAAAGTTTTTGTTCACACATCTGAAAGAAGAAGCAACACCTTCTGGAATCATGAATGACAGCTGTGGCTGATCCAGGGAGCCCTGAGCCAAGTCCCGTCACGTAACGCATGCTCGACATGTCGGCGTCCATCAGGGGTCCAACTCTTCAAACTGCTCCTCCTCTTTGCTTTCTGCCTGTAGAGAAGCCAAGGGACAAGAGCAGAAACAGGGTGTGAAGACGGGCCCTCTCAGGACTTGAGGGGACATATTCAAAGCCAGCTGGTCTGGCTTTGAGGATGATCAATGGAGTGAGTGACAGAGAGGCAACAGAAAGAAGTGGAGAGCTGTAGAGTGAACTAAAAGGCAAGATAAGGAAAGTGAATGCACACAAAGGGAGGTGGAGGTTGCAGCAGACTGTGAAACTGTTTGTGGAGCAACAACAGGTAAGAAGCTGCTGTTACACAAGGTTTTAATTTATTACAAAGGGTTTGAAGAAAAATATAATGTAGAACTCAACTGGAAAACTCATTTTCCACTTTTACTATTCACTAACAAGACTAAGTCTCGCAACCAAGTGTGTTATAGCACACAACCTTATTTACGTCTTTATATAAAATTTTAGGAAAGAAACTAAGAACCTGTGATGTGTTTCTGACATTGTGTGTCATGAATATTCTAGAAATGTCAGTTTTGGAAACTCAAAGATGCTGAAAGAGGCAAGTGGTGTGACCTCACTGAAGAGCCTGTTGGCGGCAGATGTTAACACACACACTTCTTCATGGTAACCCCAGAAACAAAACAGCTGAGGGTTTGGAACTTACCAAAAGACTCAACAATTCTTGGGTCCTAAAATAAAATTGTAAGGTATAGTCATAGGAATTATCGCAGGAATTTTATCAATTTGAGTGTACAACTTAGAACAAATCCATCATTTTTACAACATTCTGAATTATCACATTTAAACAAAGTGCAAATGATGAAAAGAACAGGGTAAATGCACTTTAGGGTCTTAAAGGGCACAAGAACAATCACACTCCCCCTACTTCCTGGAAAGTAAAGACACAGAAAGCTGCATGTTACAAAACTAGAAGCTCCCAGTCTAGCCACAAAACAGGAGAAAACATGTTCAGTGAAAATGGCAGAAAACCCGTGTGGAGTTTCCACTTTCTTCAAAGCTGGTTACTTCAGTAAGAAAGAGAAGAGATTCCACTATTGTGCTGTTTTTCCTCTCTAAGAATGTGAGTTATCTTGTGTAAGAAAGCCTCACACATCACAGGGGGGAAGAAAACATGGTATGCGCTAGTATTCACCCATCTTTGCTATGGCACCCCTAAATAAAATACATTGCAACCAAGTTCTTGCAGAAATAATCTGTTCAGTAATTAAAGTTCCATGTGTGTAAATACAGCTTTCCTCTGAAGGCATCAGAGGTTAGTTGGAGAACATTAGTGAACAAACAGAATTGCAAAAGCAAAGAGATAATACAGAGGACCAGGAAAAAGGCTTACAAATCTCACACAGCACTGATCTGGCTATCCAGCCCTTTACCATCTTGATCTGTGAAGAATTGTGAAGGAGAGGACTAGTGCCTCAAACCAGTCACCTGCATAGGTTGCCAGTCTATAACAAGGCAAGGCAGAAACAAGCAGAACACCCAACCATGCCTGCACTCTCTCAGACTTTTCATTTTTCAAAAAGAGAATGGCAAACTAAGACATGGCCATCAAAATGAACTGCCAAGGAGAGCATTGTTCAAAGAAGCAGTTAACAGGCCTGCAGTAACTCTGGAGGAGCTGCATAAATCCTTAATGTACGTTGGAATAATCTGTTGAAAGAACAAGTATTATTGGTCATACAGTCCAGATCTCTGGCTTGTAGTGTGTGAGGAGTTTCAAAAAGTACAGTAATGTTAAAAGGAAGTCATGCAGGAGGTTCAGCCATGCCATGGACACTGCAAACATGTGGAAAAACACACACTCCAGACTAAAACAGTAGTTTATGACGATCATGTAAAATGGTTTGTGAGACAGAAAAATTACACTGCACCAGCTGAACACATTCTTCTGAATGTGAAAAATAGTGGTAGCAACACAGTGCTCTAGGGAGCAGGGAAGCTGGTTAGAGTCGAGGCCAGTGGCAAGATTTGAAAAGCTTACTCAAGCTAATATGACTGACATTCAGATATTTTGCATAGAAGACATAGGAACATGCTTAGTTTCTGAATGTGTAAAGCTGGTTGAGACATGTCTCCCGAAAATGTACATCTGTAACTGCAGTAAAACACAGTGCTGCAAAGTGTTTTAATGCCCCATCCATTATGGGAGCCATTCTGGATGGGGCAGAATGGCTCCCATAATCAAATATTCATTGATAAAAATATTTACAAAATTTAAAAGCCATATGCATTTTACCTTGGACTCTAGTACTAGATTGTGTAAAATCAGAAGAAAAAACAAATGCATTAACTTTTGTAGTGACAATGTAACAGAAACATGAAAAAATCTGAGTAGCTTTATAAGCCACTGTGCAGAACAAACAGTCTGAACAAGATGTCCTTCTGTAAGAGCCCAGTAGATCAGTGGAAGTAAAAAAATGTGTATGAAAATCTGTTATTTCAAATGCCATGTCTTTACCCCTCCTGTCAGAGACACTACTCCTTCAAGGCATGTTTGATAACTAAGAATTACTCTCGTATGTTGGAGTTACTTAGATTTAGGATGGTAGAAATGTCAAACATAATAAAGGAGGAGAAAATGTTGCTAAGGCACAACCTCTGCTCCTGTATCTTATGTCTTTTTAACAACAAATTGCAATTTGGAATCGAGTTGAACATTAATGAATAGTGAGGCAAAACATTTCCCAGATTTATAAAAGGCACCCCACATAAGCAGCATGAAAGGTTAGAGCATAATCCATCCGTAGAAATTGTTAAAACCAAGAAGCTGCCTAATTTGCTAATAAGCAGAAGCTGCTGAGACCTGTGTGACCTATATGTATCTTACGTTGCACAGGGGAGGGAAAATAGCACTAATCAATAGCAAAAACAGCTTGTTCTTGATCAAGATACTGCTCAGACCTCTATAAGCTATACAGGGCCTAAGTGTTTCTTTCTGAGAATGTGTAATTTGGTCACTTAAGCACTATGGGATATTATTAACAGACCCTGGTGGTAATTATTGTAAATAAATTTGAATTTAATGACTAACAGATTTTTTATGAAAAAAAGCTAAGTTGGGTGTCCTCCCTGTGTTATAAAACAACACAAAACACTGAAAAGATATGAGGCTCATTCATATCTGAAACAAGCTCAACTGTCGAAAAATGTGTTGTAATTCATATACACCTACTGAAAGTGTTGCAGCTGCTTGCATCTGTGATACAAGGAACGGGGAAATAAATTTAAGTGGAGGTTAGAATGAGACAAACACAGTGAGGCTGGATTATTTCTACTGATATGCTTGAAACCATGAGGCTCTGACAAATGGACAAAGTTTTTCAATATGAAATGTCCCCTTTTAGGGGTTTTCACAGATTAAATTAATAAGATTGGAGAAAAGTCCTAAGCTGTTTAAAGATTCTGTTAGAAGGGATTTTTTCTTTTAGCACTGAATAATGAGGTTTAGCACATAAACAGATCAGAGGGTGATTTTATGAGGAAGCAACATTTTGTCATGAAATGTTATTGAGGCACAGAAAATGCCCCGGGGGTAGACACCTTTGTCAACACCTCCTTCATTGTAGGATAAGAAATCTTAAGAAAAAATATATTATTGATTTTTGATTTTAGTATGCAACCCTGTGATTATCACTGCCCCCCCACCTGGATGACCACCCTTTAGGAAACTGTCTGAATGCGCCCCTGTGATTACAGTGGTTTCTCACCCGCACCTGCTTTCACATGCAAGGTAAACAGCAAAGGCAGGACAATCTCAACTCCGCTGATCTCCCTCACACACGTGACGTACTGCGCTAATCCCTCCCTCTTCTGCTGATTGGCTGCTGAACAGACGCTGCGGATCAGTATTGGCCTGAGGATGTGGCCTTCAAACAAAATGACCGCTGCTGTTGGTGGAACTAATTACGGAAAATCCCGAGGAGAAACTTTGGGAAGTGAATGCCTTTATTTGTATATTTATATTATATTATAAATACCATTACACTGTAAAAATTAACCTAAAGTTATATTGTATTTTATATTAGGCTATATTCTATTATAATAACACGCCCAGGGGGTACAGTAAGAGTTATAGGTGAACAAAGGTAAACATTACTTTTCTTCCTTTTACACGCTTTCCCTCGGTCGAGTTTGCGAGCCAAAGAAAACTCCGAGGGAGGGGAGGAGGAGCGGAGCGGAGGGGAGGGCAGAGGAGGGACAGGCAGCTCGTCAGATGGGGAGGAGTCTCGCACTGACAAGAGGGAGATTGGCTTTTTCTGAGTTTGTCGGCTCCCCCTAAAATAGCAGTCAGTGTGTGAATGTGAACTGAAATTACGTTTATCCACTGGAGTCACCGATATAGAGTGTCTATATACAGCGACTGACTCGGGAGTAAAGGTGAGTAACGGAAATAGAAACAATGTTGCGGAGTGTGGCGGCGGTACTGTAAGCTACAGTCAGGGAGAGGGGAGAAGCGCAAGAGGGAGACGTAGAGTGGATTTGGGACACATTTTATTTTTTCCACCTATCTGTACCTGCCTTTTCACAACACTGTACAACTCGTGTTATTTCACGCGAGTAACAGTGAGCTGCCAAAGCCATAAAATGTTCAAGTGGGAGGTTAAAGGGTGCTGTTGATATCTGTCACTTGTGAGAGTTTGGCTATGTTCATTACACGCCGGTGATAAGTTCTCCTGTAGCTTCTTGTAAGACTTTCGAACTATTATTATAAGGGAAAAAAATCCATCAGAGTAAGTCATCTTGTCCGCAAGGCTTTGTAAAAGCGTCGCTAAACAGTAATCACTGTGTATGTAATAACACCGTTGAGCCACTGTAGACCTGCTCACACGGTGACTTGATCGTGATAATAGAAGTTGTCAGACGAGGAGTTGGCTGCAAATTAGTGTGTTAATGTTATGCAGCTGGAAAAACATTCATTAAAACCGCCTTTAAAGATCCAACAAAGTGTAATAAAGTCGGTTTCAGTGCATATTTGAGTTGATTTGACAATATTATAAGAAAGTAGTTACTTTCCAGTGTGTTTTAATAAGGTGACAAACCTGGTCCATCAGATTTGAACCTAATTATGTGATTTCAAGTGAAGTGTGGCAGAAGTGATCTTTATATGATTAACTTCTCACTTGTAAATAAGGTCTCACATTTTATCATCACAAGTGGGAAGTTATAGGCAGTTTTTTTTTTTTTTTTTTTTTGGTGAGGAACTCCTAGCGTTGTCTTGTGGTTCTGTGAATTTCTGTCTCCCATATGACCTTAACCTCCGGCCAGAGA